TAGAGGAACATATCCATATGGTTATGATGCCATGAAATTAACTCAAAACAAATGAAGAGTTCAAATAGGCTCGGGAATAAGAGAAGTTTTATTCCTTGGCTCTGATAAGTGAAGCTTCAATTAGAGGTTCTTGGCACATTTGTTGGGGTCCAAAGAGGCTAGGGATTGAGCTTTTGATCTTGGTGTAAGGCCTAGGTGTGATTTTGATCAAAGCCGATTTCGGCTGTTGGCCTAGAGTTACTATAGAGGCTATTTCAGAGGAGGATTTTATGGGGCTTTAGCTTCTTTCTCGGTTGTGAAGGTGTGGGAACAAGTAATTGAAGTTTGGTGGACTGTGGAAGTGTAATGAGCTCTGTCTTGGTTTTTGACAGAGGTTTGAGCTCAAAATTGAGCTTCCACAGTGGAATTCAGTGGGGGGAGAGGGTTGGATTGCACTGAGGGGATCTCAGAGAAGCTCTGTGAGAAGTTTTTGAGGTGAGTTTTTATAAAAATAGCCATGGGGTGGCTCTCAGGGCAAATGTTTGGGTGCATTGTGGTTCTTAGGTGGAGGGTAGAGGAGCTCTACAATTTGATTTGGCTGAGCTGGCCTCTAGGTTTGATTTTGGTGAAGTTTCATGGGTGTGGCTCTCAATTTTGGGCTTATATGGTGACTAGGCCGGCTGGCCATGGCAAGGGGAGGTGGCTAGGTGCTCAGGGCATCCAGGGGAATCTGTCAAAGAAACTTAATGCAATGGGGTTTAGTTTTGGTAAGGTTATCTTAAGCATGTGCATTTTTGGAAATAAAATCCCTTAATTTGGGGGACTTTTGGTCCATGGCTTAGTTTAGGTGGTTTGATGGGTTTTGGCTCAGTCTTAGGGTCTAACCAATGGCCGAGGTAGAGTTAATTTGATGACTTTGGGGTAGTTAGGCCATCTTTAATGCATAGGTTCAATGTGGGTTCAAGTGATCAAAGTTTGGGTTTAGGCTATGCTATCCATGTCAATTGGCCTAATTGATTGATCAACATTGTGTAGATGATTTTTATGAAGATTTTTGGTGAAGGGTTGAAGTGATTTTGAGTTCAATTGGTAGGTCAATTTGAGGAATTTTTGAAATTTGGTCAATTTGGGCATGTTGGGCTAGACATGGGTTTAGGTTGGGCTATCCATGGGTTAAGTCCAAATTGAATGATTCAAATGATCAAGGGAGATGTTGTGAAGATTTTTCATGAAGGGATAGAGTGGAAATTTTTGGGTTAAGATCCTCAATTTGCTGAGATTTTAAGACATGACCAATTTGGGGCAAATTTGGGCCTTTTGGACTTAAATTGAAATCAAATGAAATTGAGGTCTCACCAAGGTCAATTGAATGTCAAATTTAATTTGTAGGAATGTTAGGAAGATATTTCAACATAAATTGTGGCCAATTGAGTGGGCTATGAGTTCAATTTGGTGGAACCAAGTCATAGGACCAAAAATGGGGTTTTGATTTAGCTAAATGTGGTTTTGATTTAGCTCAAAATTGGGTTCAAATCATGGACCAATTGAGCTTGTATTTGGTCTATATTGTTCACATCAAGGGTGAATTTAAGTTTAGAATTGAAATTGGGGTAAATTGATACCAATTGGATCGACATTTGGGGTAATTTGCGACATTTGGGGCAATTTGGGGAAAATATGGGCCTTTAAAGGGCAATTTGGGGGTTTTAATCAAAGATGGCCAAATTGGCCAAATTAGGTCATGTGATAGTTGAGAAAAATGAAATTGGGAATATTTGGGAGTTTTTAGGAATTTTTCAGATTTTTTTAGAATATTTGGAATTTTGGGGTAAGGAGGGTTGTTTTGGTAATTTGGCCAATTTTGGTGATTTTGGGTAATTTGGGTGTTTTCAAGGTGTCTGAAATTTCAAGGTGTCTTTTCAAGGTGTCTGAAATGATTTTTGAACCAAGTTGGGTATTTTGGGTAGATTTGAAAATGTTGGCCAAATTTGGGGTTCCAAAGGTACATAGGTAATTTGGGGGAATTTAGGGGCAAAAGGATATGTTGGGTATTTTGGTACAGTTGGAGTGCCAACCACTTTCAATAAGCCATGGACCAATGAAAACCCCATTTTGGGTCCTCATGTAGTGGTCTTAGCCAAACCCTAGCTTAGAGCTAGTGGGTTTAGGTGACCACCTACAGGAGTCTCCCAAAAGTATTAAGGGATCAAAGCCTAGAAGTTTAAGTTTAGGATAGTGAGTGATTTTGAGTGCAAGTATGTACCTTAAATTCTAGACCAACACCTAGGGTCAACCCTAAGGTGTAGCAGTCCTAAGGGTGACTCATCTTGAGTTCCCCTTTAATGACCCCACCTACTAAGTGCTAGAGGTTAGGACCAATGTGTGGAGCTTCAAGTTGAGTAGAGAGAAGTTTGGAATTTCTAATGGTGAGGGCTCCTTGTCTAGTTTTCTAAGAATAGCCAATAGGAAAGTCCTATGGCTAGACCTTAGGCTACTAAAGAGGAAAAACTAAACCTCAACCAAAAGTGAGGTCAACAGGATAGAAATGATACTGATATTCAAATTGTTGATCATTTTTCAAGGCTTGAAAAGGAAAATGATAATTTTAATGATGAAATTAATGAATTTTTTCCTGATGAACAATTATATGGAATTAATTAATGGCAAGTTCTTTGGTATGCTGATATGATAAACTTTTTAGTTAGTAATGTTTTACCCTAAGAATTTGATAATCATCAAACTAAGAAGTTCATTTATGATTCTAAATATTTTTTTTTGGGGATGACCCTTATTTATATAAACAATGTAAGGACTTAATTATTTGAAGATGTGTACAAATTAAAAAAACTCAAGAAATTATACAAAATTATCATAAATCTAATTTCAAAGGACATTTTGGGGTTGATAAAACTGCATTTAAAATTTTTTAATCTGAATTTTATTGGCCTACACTATTTAGGGGTGTTAATTATTATATAAAAACATGTGATAGATGTTAAAAAGTAAGCAATATTTCTAAAAGAAATGAAATGCCCCTAATTTTTACCCTTGAAGTTGAAATTTTTTATGTTTGGGGTTTATATTTTATGGGAGTATTTATACCATCTTCTGGAAAAATTTATATTTAATAGTTGTGGATTATGTTATAAAATGAATTGAAGCGATTGTTTTACCTTGATGTGATGCTAAAAGTGTTGTAAAATTTTTAAGGAAAAATATTTTTACAAGTTTTGGAATGACGAGAGTAATCATTACAGACGAGGGAAGTCATTTTAGGAATATAATTATTGAAACAGTAACCCAAAATATGGAATCAAATATTGAATTACCACAGTTTATCTTCCTCAGACTAGTGGTTTGGAAGAAGTATCCAATCGAGAAATTAAAAAAATATTAGAAAAAACTGTAAATCCTAATAGAAGTGATTGGTCTGCTAGACTTGATTCTGCATTGTGGACTTATAAGACTGCTTATAAAACTCCTATAGGAATGTCACCATATAGACTTATATTTGGGAAATCTTATCATTTGTTTGTTGAATTAGAACATAAAGTTTATTGGGCAATAAAAAAGTTTAACTATAATCTAACGAAGCTGGAGAAAAGCAATTACTTCTATTAAATTTGCCTTTCAAGATGAGAAATGAATTTTATGAGAATGCAAGAATTTACAAAAAGAAAATGAAAACGAGGTGTGATCAAGGATTTCTAAAAAAGCATTTCGAGCCTGGATAAGAAGTTCTATTATACAATTTAAGATTTTAATTATTTCCGGAAAAACTTAAGTTCAGATGGTCGGGACCATTTATTGTGATAAGAGTTTATTCTATTGGAGCTGTTGATATTGAAGACCTTCAGACTGGAAGGATAACTAAGGTAAATGGACGCAAATTAAAAGCTTATATAAGTGGAGATAGTCCTACATTTGAAGAAATCTTAAAGTTGGGTCAACCTGATTAAACATTGGATATGTTGGGCTGACAACGTTAAATCAAGCGCTTTGTAAGAGACAACCCATAGTTATTGGTGTAATTTACTGGATTGTTGATTTTTGTTGTGATGAAGTTGATATAAAATATTTACATGATATATCAAATATTTAATATTCCATAAAATATATATATATATATATATATATGTATTATAGTATATCGTTTATGGAATATTAAATGGTTGATATAAAACTGCACACACTAAAAATACTACTTCGAAAGCATAATGTTTTTTAGAAACAAATGAATTATGTGAACTCTTATGGTAAAACATTTGTGATGCGAACTCTTCGAGGGATCAACTCAGAGGCTGAAATATAATGAAGGCGAGGGATAAAGCATGATTCGAGATGCCTCTCTAAAAATGGGGGATTAAGAAGAAGATGAGTGTAATCTCACCGAAGAGGGATTAGTTTTTTTCATTTGTGAGATGTTTAGATTCTCTTTTATTTTCTATTTTTATATGTATTTAGAAACAAAATATATATGATAAGTAAAAAAATAATAATTTTTAAAAATATTTAAAACATTTAAATATTTTTTTGAGTATTTTTTTAAGTTCTTATCTTTAAAATATAAAATAAAATTAGGTTAAAAATACTCAGAATAAATATATTTTAAACAATAAAAAAATGAGATCTTTGGTAAATTCTTCCCTTGAGAACTATTTACAGCATAACAGACTAAAACACAGACATCTTATCAAACTATTAATCGATGAATACTCACTCCCAAGAAGTACACTATTAACACGCATTATAACCTATTAACTAAATCTAACAATACATTAACTATACTTATTAACCGTATCAACATGCCAAAATGATTACTTATCGAGTTCTTACTTATACAACAAAACTTTTCTTTATTTGCAAAATACATTGAAAAAATCCACCATCTTAACAACAACATTAATCATATCAACAAATTATAAATTATTACAGTGAACAACAAAGCAGGAAGCATAGAACAATATAGATTTAAATAATTATAACATGAATAATTTCTGGACACCAACACTTGATGATTTTTATGGAAGTATGACAGATAGAATCACAGTTATGCCAAAGAGAATAATAGCTATTCCTGTGAAATTAAGCACAAGTGCTTCGCTGCCTCGTTGAAGCCTTAAGAACCAAAACCTTCTTATGATCCCTGTGGCTGAGCTGATTATGGCCAGCATGAATATTACTAGACCGAGGAAGAAATGCCATGGCCTCATATTTGCTCTCATCGGCATGGTCGCTCCAGGAAAAAGGAAGAAAGTGAAGCCGAGTAGGAACTGCCAAGAAGTACATTTAATAATTGTTTGTTTTCGATATATATTATACATACATATAAGTACATACATACATACATACATACATACATATATACATGCATATACTTCTATTTCTCTCTCTTCTGTATCTTATATGACGTGGTTTAGGTACTCGATTCATGTCTCAATATAAATTATAGATACTATTGAATGAATGAAAAAAATAATGCTATTTTTAGAAAATACTCAAAGTAATATTTAATATATAATAAATATATATTTTTTCAATTCAAATATAAATAAAATAAAATGAAAATAAGAAAAAAATAAATAAGAAGATCCCAAATTAACCTCTTAGCCATTGACTTAGTAAGTTCAAGGGCATTTTGCTATGAGAGATAATAAATTACTTAACTATTTTTCTTCAGGCAATTAAATGTTACTCTCGGATGAAAAAAACTTGATTTTCACTTGTGTTTTGATTGAATATTTTCAAATAAAACTACTTAGATAAGATATGGACTGATGGGAAGGTGAGGAAAGGAATAATGGAAATAATTTTAGTAGAGAGAAAACAAAATGGATTATTTAATTTGATTTTCATTTGCACTTATAATATAGAAAATAAAATTTATTATCATATTTTTATATTGGAAGTTAAAATAGAATAAAAGTTCATATTTAAGACTATCCGTTTTGATTGGAAGTTTGATTTTGAATTGCATTGTTTGACTTTAGTTGTCCCGGTCCATAAGCAAAGGAATTGCATGCTTTTAAATCATGTAAATTTAATTTCTAAAGTCAATCCTCTATAATACTTGATGTCTTACTGAAAAGTTAGCACATTGGTTGATGCTACTATTAGAGTGATATTACTTAGTCCCTTTAAGAGCTTTGAAAGATCAGTCTCTTCTTGACTTCTAGTGGCATGTGCACTTGATGCTGGCTCACCTTTAAACAATAACCTTCGTGATGAGCAAATCATAAGCTTAGAAGGTCAAGCCAAGTCTTAATGCGTGCTATACTTTGATGGTGCAGTCTTTTCAGAGAATAGAGGGCTCCTGATCTTCAGTTATCGGCAAGGTAGCTTTTGGGTTGATATTTATCACCCACAAAAAGGGAATGACGTGTTAGTCTTATGACCTTTTGGAGCCTTATATGAACATTAAAGCCAAGTACGAAGCTATGATTATAGGTTTAGAGCTGGCGATATTTATGGACATTAAGAAAATTAAGATCTATGGTGATTCACAGCTAGCTATCAAACTGGTAGCGAGATCTATAAGGTACTGAAACTCAAAACTCCTTCCGTATTATTGGCATACCATTAAGCATCTTGAGTGAATTTTGACAGCGACTTTGTATCGAATTTCCCAAAACAAAAAATGCTTTAGCAGGTTCTCTGAACTAACTTAAAAGGACATGTTATTGTCCTAAAAAGGACTCAAGTTCTATTGAAGTACAAAACCAACAGGCTTTGTCTCCCATCGGCATAGACTATATTAATTGTCCGAAAGTCAAGGTGTATTTATAGAAGATGATCAAGTCAATGATTGGAGATGACCATTAATTGATTATCACCAAGGTGACAAACTCTCAATTGATAGGTATCTTGTGCATATAATTAGGAAGTGAGCATTGTCTTTTTATCTGATTGATGGTATTTTGTATTGTCAGTCATTTGAACAAATGTGGTTATGTTGCCTTAGAATGTATAAAGCTTGAAAGGTGATAACTAAGATACATACTAGTCCATACCCAAAATGAAAGCAAATTTAAAGCATTGGAGGTACTATTGGCCATTGATGATGGATGATTAGATTTTTACAAAATCTCTTATTCATCAATGTTAAGCGTACAATATCTTTTTGTTTTAACTTCCTAATGTTCTACATCCTATAGTGGCCTCATGGCCTTTAAAGTCCGAGGGTACAAACACTTTTGGTCCTATTGACTAAGCTTCTTATAAGGGCCATCTGTTTATAATTGATACAACCTATTACTTCTCAAAATGGGTGAAAGTTATCCTATTATGTGAATTCAAAGCTTACAACACGCTCCTTATTTTTAAGGAAAATTCGTGTATAGATTTGTCATTCCTCATCGAGTCATATTTAATAATGGAACCATTGTAAGAGCACCAAAGAATTTTTTTATTTGATGACACAAAATCAATTGAAGATACTTTTCCATCTGTTACCCTTAGACTAAAAAATTGACCAAGGCCTTCAATAAGATACTTGTAAACATCTTGAAAAATATTCTGGATGAGAACAAATAGTAGTGGCACAAGAAGATATTCAAAGCCTTGTGGGCCTATCAAACTATATATAGTAGGAAGCTAATTCAATCCACTCTGTTTGCTTTAGTCCATAAAGCTTTAGGTTATGCTGGCTTAATAAGCAAACTTCCCTCATTTAGGATTTTTATTGGGAGTAAAATTACCACCAAGCAGAACATTTGATTGTGATTAGCAGTGCTTGAAGGTTTGTAAGCGATTATAAGCTAACTGATATGTATAATAGAATGCATACTTTCCTTTGTATTTTTGCACATTTTTATGGATGGAATTGCCCTTTAAAGTAAGATATATTTATGTTTTTCTTACAAATTTAATAGGTTTTAGAAGTGAAGATGAGTGGAAGAGACATTGAGCAAAGTGGTGGAGACTTGGAGCAAAGGAGCTCACAAGAGACTGGTGCCTAGGCGCTAGTCTTTTCCCTAACAACTCAAGAGACAAGCGCCTATGAGCCAGCTATTGGGTGTCAAGGTGCTACCTTACTGGCACCTAGGCTCTAGATCTATGGGCACCTAAGCTCCAGACCCATGGGCACCTAAGCACCCATATTGATCATGACCGACCGAGAGATTAGCGCCTAGGCACCTAGGTGCGTGCAACTGCATGAGATAACGCTCAGCAGTTTGTGTGGAAGATGTAAGGAGTTATTTGGATGGCTAGAGGGCTTAATGAGGAGATGTTTTAAAGCCTTTTGAAGAGGATGAATGGAGAGGAGGAATAAAGGGTTGTAAGTTGGCTGTAGGGTAGAGTTGTGTGAATAGTTTTTAGAGATTTGGAGTGGATTTGAGCTACCTTGTGAGGAGAGTATTCAAGAGAGCAGTAAGGGACCACTAGATCATTAGGGAAGCATTTACCGAGTGTTATAAAGGAAAAAAATTAAGCATTGTGTACTTTTATTATTGTATTTCCTTAAAAATAAATTTTTAATGGATTTTCTTATTTCTAATGATGCTTTGTGCACTTCATGCATTCTGATTTATTTTTTTTTTACTTTTCCTTGTGATGATTAAGTAGGATTTGTAGGACTGCAAACCATTTTTAAAATTATATTTAAGTTCTTAATGTGAAGAGTAATCTTTGATTCTTCATTTAATTTTCAAAATTGGCCAAGTGAATTTTTAAAATGTGTTGTGATCCATAATCGGAAGAGCTATGGTAGAACAGCTATGTCATCTATAGTGATCTATATGGTATGGTATAAGTACATTTTAGAGAGATGCAAATGTTAGACAAATAGTCTTTTGATTGGTTCCAGTTGGGATTTATGAAATTAAAACCAATTTAATCAAACTTTTTTATGCACTCGGAGAGCATAAAGAAGAGAGTTGCTCCTATTTGTCACTGACTTCATTCATAATTGACACTTAACATTTCCTACGCTCCACTTATATCATTACAAGAGAAGGTAATTCTATAACTTGATAATCACCGGTTCAATTATAATAAGTAAGATTTCTTTAGGACTTAACATTTAAAAACTGATTGCATTACCATAGTATTAGTTTTTGAGCTTTGCCCTAGTCTAAATTCCAAGCTAAGAACTAAACCTAGTAGACAAGAACTTCTCTTATGTCTAATTCCCTCATTCCTTGAGGGATTAACATTCCAGACTCAAAAATCTAATATTACTGATACGACACGTACACATGCATGAACCCTAGAGTGTGAGTGCACTTGTAAAAGTGTATCAAGTTTTTGACAATGTCGTTGGGGATTGACAGTGCAGTTAACTTTGGAGAATTTAGTTGAACAATTTAGACCTAGAGTTTGAAATCTGTAGTGTTAAATTTTATGTGTATTTGTACTTTTGTTTGAAAAATAAACATTCTATAAATATTTTTGTGTGATCAACTTGTGTGAAACCTATTAGTTGAGCCTTTAAGTAGTGATTGTGTAGTTCTGAACCTGCAGGAATTAAACCTTATGATTCAGAATTAGAGAGAACTATTAAGAGAATTAGAATACAAAAAAGTCTTCATGAACTTATAGAAGAAATAGTGAAAAATCAATAAATCAATTTATATACCCAAGAATCAATTAATAATCATCATAATATGCATAGACTATTAATGAATTACACTAATCCCACAACATATGAAATTTAATTAAATATTTAGACCTCAGCACTAGATGCTAATACATATTAACTTAAGCCTGCTATTATCAAAATAGTGCTAAACAACCAATTTGGGGGTACCCCTTCTGATAATCCTATCTTACACTTAGCAAGATTCTTAGAATTTAGTGCTACATTTCACAATAATGGTGTACCAAAAGATGCTATTAGGCATAGGCATTTTTCTTTGTCTTTAATGGACAAGGACAAAAATATGATTAAATTCATTAGCACCCGAATCAATTCAGACATGGGGTGACTTAGCCCAAAAATTCCTAGCTAAGTATTTCCCACCATCAAAAATAGCTAAACTTAGAAATGATATTATTTCATTTTTTTAGCACGACGGTGAGTTGATTTGTGAGGTTTGGGATTGTTTTAAGAAGATTATTAGGAAGTTCCCACATCATGCACTGCCCGATTGGCTGATTATTCTGACTTTTTACAATGGTTTAGTAGGATCTCTTGGATATAGTATTAATGCTGCCACCGATGGTTTGCTTATTTCAAAGCCACTTGAGAAAGTGTATTCTCAGATTGAGGAGATGACTACTAATAATTTTCAATAGCCTTCTGAGAGAGTAAACCCTAGTAAGGTAGCTAGTGTACATGACACAGATGTGCTTTCGCTTATAACTTCTTAAGTAACAATAATTTCTAGGAAGCTAAATTAATTTGGAATGAACCAACCTCAATGACCTCTCATAATTCATTTTGAAAGTTCTTTTGGACAATTGGTTTATACTAATACTGGTGGAGAAACAAATAATGAGAAATAATCAAGAAAATCCTTTAGGAAATTAGAACAACTAGGGAAGTATCAACTATAGACCTTATTATGCTCCAAGATGTAACTCTAACCTACAATTTAAGGAGAAGAAGCTGTCTTAGGAGGAAGTTGTATTGCAAATGGGGAATCAACAACAAAGTCAAGATGCATCAATTAGGAACATATAAATCCAGTTGGGATAAATTGCTAACTCATTCAGCAATCGACCCTAACCCCAAGGAGAAGAATAGTGAGCATGTGAAAGCTATCCAACTAAGGAGTGGAAGAGAATTAGAGGATGTATTTTGGAAAGATGATAAAATTGAAAAGGAGGTTGTAGAACCTGAAAGACCTTTGCAAAATATTTCCAAAAACTTATAAAAAATAGTCTAACCAATTAAGAAAATTTTGAAAAAACCACCACCACCATTTCTTCAAAGACTCTAGAAATAAAAGTTGTACCAGGAATTTTCAAGATGTTTTGAGATATTTAAAAATTTAACGATTAATATACCCTTTGCTGAGGCATTAGAACAATTGATCAGCTATGTAAAATTTATTAAAGATATTCTTAATAAAGAGATTCTTATATTGCATTGGATTTACGGTGAACTTAAGCTTTTCATTGTAATTTTTTGTGTTATTGTAAGAATAAACTAGCGTAGTTTATTTTGTTTTGCTTAATTCATAATTTAGTTGCGTCTTAGCAATATGTATCTTAAAACTTAGTGTGAGCTTTAAGCATCAAATGAGTCATTGTAGAATAATTAAGATCAAATAATTAAATCCTTAAGTACAAAAGTATATACTACTTGCACACTTAGAATCAAATAAGAAGTATATTTTTTGCCATCACTCAACTAATTAGTAGGTATATACATAATTAGCAAGAGTGATTTATTGTTTTAGTGAATAATAGAAACTAAGAGAAACTAATGTTCTTGATTGATAATATATTTTCGGTAAAATCTTCACCATAATAGTAAATAAAGGCAAACTATAAATCCAATGCCATTTCTCTCTTTTTTAAATTAAAAAGCATTTTATATCTTAGCCTTTACAAAACAATTTTGATTAGTTATCCCAAAAATTTGAGTTGTTGAACAAAAAGCATTATATAGCTTAGCCTTTTCAAATATTTATAAGTAGATCCTTTTGGAACAATCCTAGATTGTATTATATCATGTGTACATGCTTACACTATTTTTAGATAGTCAATAGAAATGATTATTTACTTGATATTAATGTTTGTTATTTACTTAGAAAAAGTAGAGACTATGTGTCAAAAGATAGTAATTTTGAATATTGATGTTAATAGTGTTACACATCAACATTGGGTTTGAAGCCGCTGGAAAGTGTTATGGTCCAAATAGATGTTTTTTTCTTGGTACTAACATTAAGGAGAAAGGGACTGCCTAATGGAAGCTTAGGCAAAGCTTTAAAGCTATAAAAAATCTCAAAAAAAAAAAATTTAAAGATATTAATAAATAGTATTGTGATTTTGTATAGTCATAATAGTTTTGTATGTAGCTATGAAAAATGCTCCTTATATTAATATCCCATAAATATATGCTCATTTTTATTTAAATTAAGAAAAATAAATGACGTTCAAAATAAAATTATTTATTATAATTCTGATAATTGATAAATCATAATTTTAGAATATTTTTCCCCCTAAAGGAACCAAGATATTTATATAAATATGAGACAAAAGTTTTTTGATAGAAATATAATATATTATAGTTGAGATATTGTACCTTAATGAGAGCATGTTAACTTTTATACCTTCTATGCCTTATACTCTCCAAGATTGTTTTCTTTGAATATTTAGTCTTCATCTATGGATAATATTTTTTTCTTAAGTGTTTAATGAGTCATCACATCTTAAAGGTTATACAACTTTAAGATTCTTATATGTTTTTGTGTATCACTTGAGCTCTACATCATTTGAGATTTTCGGATGTATATATACATTCTGGATTTTGTCTTTTAAAAGTTTTTGATGCAATGAAGCCATTTGAGATTTTAGTATCTTGAGATTTTTACAGTATATGTACCTTTTTAAGCTTAAAATCTTCTTTAATTTTTTTATGTGTTTGTACCTTATGAGACATTAACTTCATGAATGATGTCAAGTAATGATATCAGGAATTAGTTTTGTTTGTGTTAGTGACTGATGGTTTTAGTGGGCATCAAATTTTATGTTAGCATTTGATGAGGTTAACAGACATAGGTGGCCATATATTCATAGTCAATAAATGATGATTTAAAATTCAAAACATGTTATGGAAGTCAAGAAACCATGGCTATGTGATGGGGGTTAAAGATCAAGAAATAGAAGTCGAGCAACTAATGATAACTAAATGTAGTTAGATGATTATAGCATGACAAAGAAGATCACAATAAGAAGGGTTGAATGACTTATGTGACACATAGGCGACATCATTCTTAGGCGTTGGTTAGGCAAAAGTAGTTCAATTGTGATGGTCAGATGGTAGTATCGGTTGAGTCACTCATGGTGTTTCAACAATGGTGGCCAAGTTACATGAGATAAATGTGTAAAATGAATGGTGTCTACAAAGTTAACATCTTCTCTAAGTGGAAGGGTAATTTTAATTTCATTATGAAGAAACTCTACAAAGGTGTGCTCATATTATATACCTTTAAGTGTTCAATGTTTTTTTAAGTGAACCCTCTCACATTATGCCAATGTTGCTTGTGAGAAATTCCTAGTAGAGGTGAAAAATTTTATCATTTCTGAGACTCATTAATTAAGTGTGCATGATTTTTGAAGAATGGACTCAATGTGTCATTGCCAACATAGTTATAACGAATAGAGAGAAAATGAGTAGTGATCTAATATATGTAGTTTGAAGATTGTTCCATGGAATGGTGGTTATTGTAACAATAGGCTTTATTGTTATAATTACTATGCTCATATGCCATCAAATAAATGTTCGTGGAGCCTTGCAATGATATGATAGGTATAGAGATGATGGAATTTAAAAATGATCAACAAATCCAAGTCCTCATGATGTTATCATAAGAGGTATTGTAAGATAATAGCAATTTAGTGACCGTGGTTAGAAAATAATAACTTGAAAATAACAATTAGGCAACATCAACCTTAAAGAAATAATTATATTTTTATAAGAATAGTTGGGCTACAATAGTCGCTAATGGTTGTCAATGATTGTTGGTGTTGATCACCACTGGCTCTCTTTATATGAATGTAAATTTAAGTTCACTTATCCTCTTCTCTAAATAATATCTAGAATGGTGGTTTTTTTTAGTGTTTAGGAAGTGTCTTTTTGATAAATCAAGATATAATCTCAAAACTTTTAATCGGACAATTTGTTGACCGCTTTGATCATAGACTATTCTTCTAACATTTTTTATGTCTAGGCTATAGTTTATTTGTTCTCATTGAGCAGCTCTTCACTGCAAGCATGCCATTAAATTTGAAGATGATTTGATTTTTTAGTTAATGCTTTTTTTTAGTTTTCAATATATTTCAAATGATTGATTTAGGCTTATTTGAATATGAATTTATATTTTTTCCGACCATCATAAAAAGAAAAATATTCACTTTCTATCCATTTTTTTAGTAAGTGAATTTATTTAGCTTAACAAAAACTTGCATTGGCTGAAAGCTCGGAATGACACAGGGAAAGCATCAAATTAAAAAAATACTGAAATATATAATTAAAAAAGTAATTTTAAAATAATTAGACTAATTAAAGACTAAATGAAGAATTAAGTAAGATTATACCTGGATAGCATACAGGCACATTGTCCCGAATCCAACCCAGGAATGCAAACTATGTAGATCAGGTGAAGTCCCATCCTTCTTAATGACGGTGAAAATTGCATAGAGGCCGAGAACACCCAGCACCAGACCCAGCAGGTTCAGCAACATGTGAACCATCTTCCTCACCCTTCTTCTCCCAGGAACCGTCTTAAATGCCATGATGGCTAATTCCCCGCATAGAAATAAAACTAATTAAAATTTCTTTTATGAAATTATTAATAAATATTTCGAATAATAGATAACGGTAATTTAGAATAATAATAATTATTAAATTTAAGAGAGATATAATGCTGCCGCATTTCTCACCTTGGCCAATGCATATTACAGGCCCAAATAGCATCAAGACATGGTGCGCCTACGAAATTATGAGAATTGTTACACATGGGAATTAATGATGAATATGCTCAAGAAATAAATAATTAAGGAATAATAATCTCCAACTGCGAGTGATGTGGTGTTGTTATTTTGGAAAAAATATAATATTATCTAAGAATTTTGAACATAGAGCTACGTTCGGATTGCAATAGTTAGAGATATCTCCTTGTGTTACATGAATATTCCATCTGCGTTATTTGTAAAAAATGAAGTGTTATTCGAGTATTTTGCTGTGTTATTGGAATATTCCCCCGCGTTACTTGATTTGGAGTTGTGTTATTCGGCATATTCCCTGTGTTATTTCAATTTTCACTATGTTATTGGAATAACACAGTCCCAAATCAAGTAACACGGGGGAATATTTCAATAATATTTCAGTCCCAAATCAAGTAACGCGGGGGAATATTCCAATAATACGGAAAAATAATCGAATAACATCATATAATATTCAAATAAAACTTCATTTTTTTACAAATAACGCAGATAAAATATTTCTTTAACACAACGGGATAATCCTAACTATTGCAATCCAAACGTAGCTCTACGCTCGGAGTCCTGATAGGTTTCTGATTTCATAATTAAAGAAGAGTCTCCTATATAACTATATTATAATCTCATTTCTAGTAGCTCATCTTATTTGATTTATTTCTTTTGTATTTATATTAGAAACCTTAGTAAGCTGATTTTTATATTTACCATATAATCTTTTATAGTTTCTCACTAGGAAATAGCTATATTGTCTATACACCTATTTTCTCTCCACTATGTGGAACATTGTTTAGAAAATAGTAATATTTTATAATTTTAGTTATTCTACTCTTGATCAACCATCATTCAATCTACTTCATGAAAAATATTAAAATTTTATTTTCATGCTTGTTGATTATTATAAGTCAAAAGCTCTTCTTTTAATATGTAATCAGACTGCCATCCTTCCACGTCCCAATTTTAATATTCAAATCAACAAAATAATAGTTTAAGTCTCTTAAATTTGAATTCTTTTGAGTGTTTCTTTTTATTTCAATTCATTTTAATTATTTTATTAGACTTTCTTAATGCTATAAAAGTTGAAATAATTAGGGAAAAATTGTTTCATGATGAGGAATCTTTCTAACTCAAAATTTTCGGATCTTTTGTCAAATTCTCAACAGTCGAAAAACTTGTTCATTAATCATGATGTGCCAATCTTTTATATGATTAAAAAAACTTTATTTTTTGAAGAAATTTCTTAAACCTTCCAAAAATATTCTGGGGAACAAGTTTAAAATAACAGTAGCAGATTACAGATATAAATAGATCAGAATTATGAAAAGCATTGCAATTGGACGCTTAACTACTACGCAACACTTAACAAAATAGATCAGAATCATGAAAAGCAAAGCTTCGTAAATATATGATTACAAAATGACAGAATTCCATAGAGAGAGAGAGCGAGAGAGAGGAAAAGACTAACATTCAGTAGCCGCTCCAAGTTTTTGGATTTCAACGAAAGGCCACCTCTGAAGTGTAACACCCACACAAGCATAAGAGTTATCGCAGCCACGGCGAGCAGTTGCGCCGCCACAATTGCCGGAGTTGCTGATATTCGAAAACTCGCTCCATTCTTTCTTACCGCCATGATTAGTTGCAAGCTAGAAGGAGAGAGAGGGAGAGAGAGAGCGGCAGAAGTTTCCTCCCCTTTCAAGTCTCCTTTGTGCTAAAATGTAAATAGCTGCATATTATCACTCCAATTGTCATTTTGTTTGTCCTGGAAATGATGGCATGCGTTTTTCTCAATTGACCAAAGCTTCTCAAGGCAGATGGAGACAAGGAAAGAGGAAGAGTGTTTGTTGCAGACATGGAAGTGGCAACAGATCGCCAGTTTTCCAAAGCAAGAGGTATACAGCTATTTAATTGACGCTTTATTTATGATATTTCCAAAGATGACGAGGCTTAATATATAGGAAACAACTTACGATAAATATCTGTTCATGGTCGGCGCTTCTAACGGTTCTATTTGGCAGTTAGCATTTTCTTTTGTCCTGAATCTTAACTTAGGCCCCGTCCTATCTAATGCCCGCCCCTACATTTTATTTTTTTCGTTTGGTTGACACATTTTTGGGGGGCTTTTTAAAAATTTTTGCAAAATGCGTGTTCCTATTATACTACCCTACCCTCTCCCTCCCCCTTCTTGAGACCGAGCCTCTCCCTCCTCTTTCTCGCACTGAGCTTCTCCCTACCCGTTCACATCCTTCTGTCCGATCTGTGATCCCTGTCTCGAGTTTGCTAGAATCCTTTCCTTTTCTTTGGCATCCGATACTCTCTTCCAACTTCTCTCTGGCATTATGATTTTGGGATTGGTTGTTCTATTGTTGGTTTTCGATTGATAAGCCTGTTTTGTTGGTTTTCGATTCGATCTTTTCTTTACATTTTTGAGTTGGTATTGAATTTCTTTATTGATGTGATGCCCTATACTGTGGACTTTGGTGGTAGTTAATTGTTGGGGTGTTGGATTGCTATTTTTTTTGTTGGTGGATTGTGGGGGTGGTTGTGTTGGTCATGTTAATGGTATGGTGGTTATTTGATGTCATGGCTCTGGTTTGTGCAATGGTTTCTGTGCTTGTGGCGGTTGTTGTTGTTTGGGGTGTTGACTCGTGTTGGAATGTACTATTGTTTGGGTGTGTGGTTATGTGGTTTTGTGGTTGGGGTGTTGGCTGTGGTTGGGGGTGTGTGTTTCTGCAATTTGGTTGGTGGTTGTTGTTTGGGTTGTTAGTTGTGGTTGAGATGTGGTTACGTGTTTGCGGGTTGTGTGGTTGTGTTGTTGTGTGATTAGGGTGGTGACTATTGTTGTAGTGTGTGGATCTGTGATTGAGATGGTAGCTATTGTTTGTGTTGTTGACTGTGGTTGGGGTATGATTATGTGGTTGTGTGATGGCTTTGTGCTATGGGTTCTATAGTTGTGTTGTGGTTGTGGTTGGGGCGCTGGCTGTGGTTGGGGTGTGGCTATTATTTGGGTGTGTGTGATTATGTGGTTTTGTGGTTGGGGTGCTAGCTGTTGTTGGGGTGTGTGGTTTAATGATTGGGGTGGTGGCTGACCCGATCTGTAGTTATACAATTATTTAAATTCAGAAATATTGCCAAAAGCTTGACCTAATTTATCTTTAGCGGCTAGTATGTAAAATTAAATATTATATAAAGATGATAAAAATGATTTACACACTAGGGGTACTATACACGTATACGTATTATTTCAAGTAATATATGATTTTCTTTATGAACCCCAATATCGATCCAACAGGGAATAGCCAAAACTCTTATAAAATTGACTTTATAAAACCTACTTTTAACTGTAGAAAAACTTATATAGGAAATGATCATAAGTTATTCAGGAATATCTAATCCTAAAGAATTAAAGAAATACTAGTATGCTAAGCAAATTCAAAATGTAAATGCAAGATAATTTAAAAGGGTTTTAGAATGCAAAGTTATCTCTATTCTAAACTAATAATGTAAAAAGAGTTTAAATTTGTATAGAACATCCTTCCCCTTGCAATGAGTTTATAATTAGTATAGAAAAATAATTTTAAAATATAACTAAGGTATTGTGCCAAATAGGAGTAATTTTACTCTTTACTCTATGTTAAGTGCATAAAGAATGTTGGCTAATCCAAAGTTTGGTCCTTAAACTTGTGGTTAGACTGGAAATATATTAGCTTTCACTCTAGAGTTCCCACTTCCCCTCCCCTGTTCCCACTTCTCTAGAGTTCCCACTTCCCCTCCCCTGAGGGCTAACATCTCGCTTTAGTTTTCAAACATCTGGACCAAATTGGGGATTTTAATCTGTCACCTTGCAATCTCCAATTATATGCTTATCAAAACTTATTTCTCTATTTATTTGCACTTAACCTCAAGGATTACTTTCCCTTCTATGAGGGTAAATGTGAATCTTACTATGTTTAAACATAGCCCATTTTGAGTCACTACGTTTTACAATAAATTTTAACAAATTAATTAGCCAGCTTGACAAGTAAATTACGCATATAGTTTGAATAATCCAATTAATGAAATTTTAAAAGCACTTATACTAAAATACATTCCTACACATAATTATTCCTCATTGCAGGGAGAAAGAAAAAGGAAAGCACTTAGATCTCATGGGGAAGAAGCAAAAACACTTGAATTTATAGATAAATAAACGTTTACAATAGAAGACAAAGTAAAATAAACAAACTACACAACTTATCTTAAACTTTTTCCCAAGCAATCTTTCAAGTTCCTTTGAATGAATCACTCTCCTTACAATTCACTCCAAACTTATTTAGAATCTACAGTGAAGAAGATATCTCTCACTTCTCCTCTTCTCCTCCAAGTCATAAGCAAGCCTTCAAGACTTTCTCCTTTCTATGAAGAATCCACTTCTCTATAAAAGACTCCCTTTTCCTCCTCCCAATAGTCTCTCTTTTGAATCTCTAGAAGTATCTTTAAATAGAGCTCTCAAAACCCCCAAGAGTCTCTTCAAACACCTCTTCAAAATTCATCCAAATTCAATAGATTTTCGAGATAACTGTCTCTGGTGCCTATGCGACAGACTCTATTGTCCGACGCCTAGACACCAGATCAACATTGCCCTTTTGGCTTCATTTGACTCCAATTCGTTCTATTTTCACTCCATGTGCTCCATTTTTTTCCACTTAGTGTACCTATAACCAAAACATCAAAAATACCTTTAAAGTGCAACCTCATTAAAAATAGGCATTAAATATACAAATAAAAGTAACATATTTTAGGCATGTCAAAATCCCCTAATCTTAACTATTATTTGTCCTTAAGTAACTTATTTCTTCTGAAAAATATGTTAACATGTTTTAAAATGTGGTTGTGGGTTTCATTAAAGAACTCCATAGTTTTGTCCTGTAAATGTGGCAGTCAAGCCTTTAGGAAAATTTTAATAATTCATGTTAAAGATAAGGCATAAGAATCTTTTACAATCTCCCCTAGCAATTCTAACTCTTCTATTCATTTTAAAATTAATTATAGTTTGAAAATCATAGGAGTCAGAAAAATAATAGATAGAATTTGAGAGAACTCTACTAGTAAAGGTAAACTAATATTGTAGAAAATAAAAGCTAAAAAAAATGTAATTAAGTCTCTTTCTTTAAAATGATTCAATTGAAGCCAATTTTTAATTAAGCATCCCCTCAAGCTTCTCCTCACTTTCATATATACTTTTCTTTTCTTTCTTTCTTTTTTTTTCTTTTTCTTTTCTTTTTATTTTTAGGATCATTTTCAATCCTTTTTTTTCTTTTTCTCAGTGAGGATTATTATATCTGTATCAGCCTTTAATGATTTTGAACATTATTATCCTACTCTTAAAGTCAAAAACTCTTCACATTTCTTTACTTTGATAATTTGCATTAGTTTTCAAAAATAATTTTTCATAGAGTCTCAATTTTTTAAAGTATAGATCTAGAATCCCCAGTATTTCAAAAGACAATTTCTTTCCTGCTTTAAATAGTAAAATTATATTCCTTTAATCTTTTACTTAATATCTTAATTCTTATAAATAACCTTTATCACCAAAACCTTACTTAAGTCTTACCACAACATCTATAAAATAAAAAAATACAGATATCTAAAAATAACACCACATACCTCATATTACTTCAAGAAGTTATTTTCTTTGAATATAGTTTCTTAAGGACAAGCAAAATTATATTTTTCAATAGTTTTTCTCCCTACCCCAAACTTAAAATTTTCTTAATAGACTAAAAAATTTATAACTGAAAACATAAAAGGAGAAAGAAAATTTTAAAAATGATTTTAATAAAAAAGGGTTTAGCATGAAAATTTGTAAGTACAAGAAGCAGATATACAATATTATTAGAGCCTAATTGACATCTATATAACAAAAAGAAATTGCTAAGTACATGAGTTTTTTTAAACCTTACAACATGTACAACAACAACACTATAACAAAACAATCAGTAGTGCAACAACACAGACAACAAGTAGTATAAGCAAAACAATAATAAGTCCAAATTATAATAAGTTCACCATAAAAATTTCTACAGTAAAGAGTTCAAGACATCTATTAATATAAATAAATACAAAAAAACAAACAACAAATAACACGAAGATACTAATCCTCATCATCATCTTCTTCTGTCTCCTCATCAGTCTCCTCCTCCTCTTCCATATAGTCCTCTAGGTGATAGTCCAGAAATGAAGGACGGGGTGGAAACTAAACATTATGATGTCCTTGTTGAAAACTCACAAGGGATGTATTGAAACTCATATCATAATTATGTTTAAGTTTCAAGTATCCTTGTACTTGATAAATATTATAATCAATATCAGTCACTTTGCCCTCGAGATATGCTATGTCATGTGTCAAAGCTTGATAATTACTATGAAGATCTTCTAACGTGGTAGAAGATTTAGTAGTAGTACAAAAAGTAGATGGTATGGAGGTAGAGGATGAAGGAATATCTGAACCTCCTCCCCTAGACCTCATTCGAGCATGCAACTCGTATACTTGAATGTTGGTTCTAGTAATTGGTATAAGAGATTACAACTATTCTTCCCAACTCTCATATCTTACTCCTGATTGCTTACATAAAGTAATAATCAGGGTAGGGA